GCACACTAGAAGCGGGAAATATAACAATTTCTTTAAACTGAGAAGCCCATTTTCTCCACGTATTGAAGCCCTTTTCGTACTTCCTCGCGGTACTGTCGGCTTTGGATTTAAGAAGAACTGCGGGGAGATCTTGAACCAGTGCCCGGAGTCGCCCGTCTTCAACCTGTTGAAAATTAGGCTGCAAGGCATCTTTGAGAACTTCTACGAGGATAAGAACAAAAATATATGGCAAAATTCCTCAATACACGCACTGGGAGTCAATACAGCAATAAAAAATGGACGCTTGGTAATGCCTCTGACCGGATGCAAAACTATTTAAGGCCGAATGGGCCAACTCAAAAACCACGGTAAACAAGCCACTCGGCGAGCTAGTTTCATGCGAAACGAGGACAAATGAACCGACGAGCGGAATAAAAAACACGTGGGCCAACATAAAGCCACTCGGCTTGAAAAAACTAAGGCCCCTTAGCGCCAATTCTGACTGCCAGCACCGCGCTGTTAAACCTGTCTGAACCAATGAGTGAATCTTTGTAACACCCGAGGGCAAAAATCCCTGAGGGGTCGGGAAAATGAATGTACTCAAGGACGTACGGTTGAAATTGAATTGCATTTGCGAACAAGAAAGGCCAAAACACATTAGACGGCCAATAAGGGACGACTAAAGTACCAACCGCACCGCATACAAGGAGATGCTGAACCGCCCTAGTAATGCAGTGGACGGGAGGGACTAGCCAATTATTCTCTCCACTCCACGAGATTGAAAATGCGTCAACAGCTTCAGTGCCTGGTACGCGAAACCTAGAATTGAATCTGGGAAGATGGGCGTTGGCAGCATTCGCGAACCTGTCGACTGTATGTGGGCCCCAAAGGCGGTCCAAGTGTGCGAAAAACTCGGGGGTTGTATACCAGTCATCGAAGTCTACAATGTGGCTAATCGCATCAGCACAAGCATTAAGTTCCCTGGGAACCCACTGGGGAATAAGTGTAATATTGTAAGTTCGACAAAAATAGAAAATATCAAGCGCAATAGAATGCAATTCTGCACTAGGACTCCCTATCTCCACAACACGAACGGCCCCTTGGCGGTCAGAATGCCACTTTACACACTTACCCCGAACCGAGGCTTTGAACGCACTTAAGGCAAATTGTATAGCCTTAAGTTCTCTCCAGGTAGAGCTCTTAGCTGCTTCGCAAGCAGTCCACATACGATGGGACACCTCATTAGTGCCCACAACAAAAGCCCCGCAGGCGACGTTGCTAGCGTCCGAATAGCTAAACAAAAGGGGAACATTATAAGGCAAAATAGGTCTCGTATTAAGACTAACGATATTGTTTTTCCAGAAAAATATTTCAGAGAGGCAATCATTATGAAGCCCGATATTAAAACGGGAATCCCAACTACGGCGGGATTCTATGACCTTGTAAAGGAAACGGGTTTTGAGACGAGTCAGGTTACCCAAAACTGGCGACATGGACATAACATGACCTGCGATAACGGCACAATCCCGAGCCGTAACATAAGGTGCGGATAGAAGAAATTTGTCAATCAGAGCGATAAATTTGCAAATACGTCTATCGGTAATAGAAATGGTACCGATAACTAAGTCCCAGTTTAAACCCAACCAAACAAGCACCTGAGTGGGGTTCCATAGTGATTTGGCGGAGTTGGCAACAAACCCCGCACTGCTTAAGGATGATTGCACAAACAATGAATTTTCCTTGGCCATAGGCAGTGAATCCCCTTTTCCGCACCCATCGTCGAGGAACACAACAATTTTAATCCCGTTAGACCTCCAAAACTTAACGAGTGGTCTGAGACACTTGGTGAAGACGTATGGGGCTGAGCTTAGACCGAACGGAAGTGATGCAAAACAAAAATACCGAACGATACCAGAAAAAACCCAGGAGAAACCCAGAAAAGTTTGGTGATCCGGAAAAATATCGATATGGTGATATCCAGACTTGAGATCGAAACTGAAAAGGTAGTCGCCCTTATTAACATATGATAATAAAGCTCTCCAATCTTCACACCTAAACTTCTGTTTCCAAACGAAATGATTGACATAACGTAAGTCCAGAATAAGCCTCTTCTTGCCTGAAGACTGTATCGAGACAGAGAGCGGATTAACGACATGTGGAATAAAGGGCACCTCAACGACGGCGTGAGTGTGGACTAATTCAGCGATAGCCGACTCCACGAAAGACGCATTATTAAGAGCTGACTGATTGTTAGGAAAACGCGCCTGACAAGGTGTGCTAATGAATGGGATCCGATAACCGAATTTAATAGTATCGATAACAAAACTATTGGCACCAATAGTGTGCCAATAACTTAAACAGGACCTAAGTCTACCCTTAAGTACTGGCAATGCGGAATTCTGTTCAAATTCAAATAGATTGCGATCATAATCGAAATCGACTAATGAACTAGAGTCCCTTTCCCTGAAATACTCCAAATAAGAAGGATAAATGTCTAATAAATTGACTAAAGCTAATATCTAACCTTGGAAAACAAGTTTTTAATTCTGTGGTCCTATTTACCTCCAATGCCCGAAAGAACAGAAGAACTAGGAAACGACTGCCCCGAGCTTGAAGATCTGGCTTGAGGATTAACTTGACACTGAGATCTCCAATGACCTTGCTGGCCGCAGGCGAAACAAATATCGCTTGGTCTTGGTTTGCTGAAAGCGCCAAAAGTACGAGAAATAGGTCTGGAGGATGATGAATGTTGGCCAGCAAACGCGGTGGTTGCGGTAGATGATTGGAGTTGTGAATAACCTTGCTTGGATGGCTTCGCTTTCTGTTGGCGTTGGTTGCGTTTACGAAGGGCCCTCTGCTCGGCACGGCGGATACGCTTTTCGTCCTCTGACCCGCTAGCCAACTCGTCTGATAAATACTCGTTCACCAAATCCCAACCGGCGGCGGACTTGTCTGCCAGTCTGATAAGTTTGTTGCGCTTCTTGATGTCAGAGTCTAGTTCTTCCAGGTGAGTTTTAACAAGGTCTAATTTTCTCTTCCCGAGAGCAACTGACGCCGACTTCACCTTCTCTGCAAGGTCGGAGTTTAATTTGAAACTGTTTCTTATTACCTTCGAATCTAAACGTGATCTTGGATTCTTCTTTAAGCTTTTTGGCCACAGAATCGGTATTACTGCACGACTCGTCTTGAATATCGCGCTTCAAGGCGCCCACCTTCTTGTCGAAATAATCCTTAAATAGAGAGAACGCGGACGCTATATCACTGGATTCTGAAGACTGGATTGGTACTGAAGCTTCGAGAGATTGAGACAAAGGTTGTTTAGGAAGCGAAGGCAGCAAAACGTCGCTGATAGGAAAATCTGTGTTCGCTGGAGTGACGTCTTCAACATCAGACATAATTTTGAGGGCGTAGGGACGGTCGTAAGACGCGAATGAATATAAATGAGAACAACTCAAATATATATAGCCTACCGCTAATGAAGCAACAGAACAGCATACCATGTAACACCCCAAAGAAAAGGTTACATAACCCATGATAAATACATTTCTTAAAATAATGAAGGTCGTCGAATACCGAATAGCTAAGATTTTCATCATTGTTGTAGATGGTTGCATCATCACTATTCACGAGTTTATCACGTGCGATTCTACTTTAATGAAACAGTCTTTAACTCTGACCACCTTATTCTAAGAGTGTTATGAGCTTTTGCCTCTTAAAAGAAAAGAGCCTTTGCTTAGGCACTAGTTACAAAACTAGATGTCTTCATACGTTTAAGTTACTATTATTACTGTGAAAAGCCAGCATGAGATGCAGAATCACACAGTTTGTACGTGAAAGTGTCCGACTTTGCCCCTTTCGTGGTTCGTACGTGAGGGAATTCGAGTTATCACACAGTAATCCAGTAAACAGAATTACACAGCGTTTAGATCATGAAAATATTTAATGTTGTCAAAATCCTCTTACAAGTTTTTTGCTGAACTCACGAAAACTGTCACGTTTTATGCGAGTGTTATGTAACGTTTCGTTTGTACAGTGATGACATTGATTTGAGCAATTGACATTTGAACTTAATTACTGTATATAAACATGATCTGTGCAGTTTTTTGGGGCAGACGAGAGACATTCGTTGCGAGCGATAATTAGGTTTAGGTTAGGTTGTAAATATGCACGTTCACGAATTAAGTTAAACAAATCGAAGTTTATTAAAAATGTAATGCTTCTAAACACCTGTAGCCGCAATAAAAGACGAAAAAATTGTGAAGAATCAAGATGGCGGTCTCAAAGTGCCCTCGTTCGACCTTTAGCAATGTCATGTGTAAACAGATGCCAAGATCTCATTGGTTCCTAAGCATCACCTCATAGTACTTTCAACCTTATTGGCTCTTGCAACAAGTTTCCGAACATACAAAGCCACAAAGATACAAAGTCACAAAGATACATACGCTCACACCACTGACATATGAAAAAATAGCTCCAAAAAGATGCTTTTGAATATATACCAATTATTCACCGAAGTGGAGGTGGCTAGTACTACTAGCCACCGACACTGAGGTTAATAATTGTTTTAGTATATACTAAAACAGTGAGATAATTGAGCACAGAATTGATGATTTTTAACTCATTTACCGTTGCCAGCGATTACAATTTTGGTGCGCAATGACCGAAGAGCCGCGGTTTATGGGGCGCCGTATTGGACATTATTGCGATGTGTCAAATAAAATGCTAAACGTCAAAAGTACATGCCAAACTTTTTATTTCATATGCTAAACGTCAAAAATACATGCCAAACTTTTTATTTCATATGGTAAGTTTGTTGGAACCATAGCAAACTCCGAAAATTCATTCCGAACTCACAACTCCGTTACCTTTTTGCCACCAAGACATTCTAAACTGCATTCCGTGTGCTAAACTTTATTTCGCGTGCTAAACTTCATTTCGTATGGTATGATGCATCGCGCGCCTAGAGCCTCGTATGCAAGTAATTAGTGTCCAGTCTCTTCTGTGCCACGGACTTAAACAAAATGGCGGGTTTGTCAAGCATCGGAGGTTCTGACAATAGTCTTAAATCTTTCTTCGATAACACTAAAATGGTGATTGCCGAAGCAGAGATCTGCTTGTCTACACTGACTGAAGATGGAGAAAGGGTAGAACGTTTACACCAGAGGCTGTCGCAGGCTGGAGAAACAGTGTTCATTTTAAAGGAAAGGGCAGCCGAAGTTGGTTTTGATAATTTGCAAATGGAACGCTTCCACAGGGATATGGAGGAGTTATCCAATAATTTGACAAGACTTAGAGTGTTCTTTGAAAATCGGGGCGACGAACTAAATAGTAATGCTGTGCCTCTGAATGATTTGGTCTATCGATCCCAGAGAACTTACACAGGAAGGAAAGGTCAGCCCAAGTTTGACGTGGCAAAAGGACAGATCGAATTTCTCAGGGACATGCACTTCTCTTGGGAGAAAATTGCGGAATTACTAGGAATTTCCACGAAAACTTTAAGCAGAAGGCGAAAAGAATTCCAGATAAATGATGAGGAGAGTTTTCATTCTGTTACCGATGAAGAACTGGTAACAATCATGCAAGAAATAATCAGGGCGTTACAAATCGATAGAAATCGATCATCGAAAACTAATCGATTACTCGATATTACTCGATAATACTCGATAATTGTTAATCGATTAGCTAAAATAATCGATAGAAATCGATAATCACAAGACTTAGACCGAGATTATCGATTTTATCGATTTATCCGGTCGATTGAGGACATTGAAAAAAAAATTATATCAAGTCAATTTAGAATCAAGGAACTTTTTTCTTTCTTACCGAAAACTGAACGTCAAAACCTCTTCCAGTCTTGGCGATAATCTGTGATAACCAGATAACTCATTCGCATTTGAAGCAATTTTTCTGAGTTTTTAGACTCGTAGCTCGGACGAAAACGACAGCACACTGTGTAAGCGGCGTAAGAACACCAGTGGAATTGTTTACGCTGGTAAACGTGGCGTACTGCTACAACAAAAACCATGTTGAATTGAGTCAATCTTGGAATGAATTTCATTTCTGCATAAGCTGAATGTTGCTTTCTGTGCGTTCTATGGCTGATATTTAACATAAATCGGCTTTGGTGAGTTAATCAGCGGATAAACATTGGATTTCAGGTTTCCGGTTTAAGGTTTGTGGGTAGTACGCGTGGTATGTGATAGCAGATGATGGTGAAAGGTCACGTGATTAAGAGTGAACACGTGAACAAGAAAACTTCCCAGACCACGAACCCACTTCATTCGCAGTGCGATAACAGCACACTGTACAATTAATCCTCTTATTAATGCTCAGTGTTATTCCTTATTCCAACAGGGTTGATGGATGCGATGGACGATAGCACAAAATAAACAGACAAGTTTGTGGTTTTCTATATGAAATCAGTTAAAATTACTTTATTTTTTCATAATTCACGTGTACCAGGTTACAAACTAAATAAAACCAGATAAAACAAGTCACTGGTCACATGTCACTGTGGAGTAGCTCCCGAATCGTCACTGCTTCCCCTGATTCTGCGTATACTGCCCCGGCTTGTAAGTTCCCTGCTTTTGTTTCCTGCGATGATTGTTAAACCATACGCTCACCTGGAAGTCACAAAATATAAATGAAATAAATAAGTAAATAAATGTTTGGTCAACTCTCCATGAAGGCTACCTGGATACTTTCTATTCAGCGTCTATTCCTAGCACCAACGCAACTCATTTTGTAATTGCAACGAGCCCGCGCGCAAGAATACCGCATGAACTTAACTCCTACTGTGTCCACGTGGAACCATGCATTAGTCGAGATTAGTCTCTTGTACAAGCAGATCGGTGCTATGGCGCATTATACTTCCTTTTTCTCATGCATTATTTTAAGCATATATCTTTTCGAAGTTACCGACAGTGCCCCTCATAAAGACATACATCAGGTGAACCAAGAATTACAGAAACGTGATTTTCGGCCCCTGACATCCGACAGTGATTTCAAGAACTCGATTACTTGTAATTCATGTGGCTTGACTTTAACCTATGGAGATAGCGCTAAAACGATGTGGCTGGTGAAGCGCCATAGCAAGGAAGAGTCACACAAAATAAAAGCTGGATGGTATTTGGACGACGACAATAATGTTTTGTCAAGTAAACCTAAAGGTAAGGCTAAACAAAGATGTCAAATCGACAACTCAGCTGTAAAGTTTAGCAACGAATTGATCGAAGTTTTCAGTTTGATTTGATCGTTTACCAATTTGTTGCAAAGAAATATTCTAGGCTTACCTGTCGCTCTTCTAGTTTTAGTAACTTGGCCGTTCGCTCTAGTACGCTTCTTTCAGGCAATCCGTTCGATGACTTGAAGACGGAATCTAGCGTGGATAATTCGAGGTCGCTGTATCGTTTAACCGCCTTTTTGGAGGCTTGTCACTTTCATCAATTTCTTTCCTCCGTGATTTTGACACTAAAATAATTTAAAGCAAAAATTAATTTAGTCAAGAAACCCTATACTAACCTTTTGTCATTCAATGACTTACAGTGGTCGAGCCTAACCGTCAGCGGTGGTAAAGGTGTCATGCTATAAATATTGTCACCAAGAAGGTGACGAGCAATGATATTTCACTTTATTATAAAAGAATGTAAATACAACAACTATAAATAGATATTTACCTTTCTTGTATTCATCGATCAATGCGGCTTGCTGTTTGGGGTCGTTTAGAAAAGCGTTCAAGGTTACCCATATTGCCCGGCCATGTGTTTTTGGCAGCTCGTTTGGCGCTTTTGTGATGTAGTCTGAGAAAGAACCTTGGGACCTATTCACTACCCTTTTAGCAAAGAATGTTTGGGAAACCCCTTTTGTGAGGAGCCATCTCGAAACTTTTGAAGCGATTTCCCTCGGTAAAAGAATGACATCTTCCGTATTCTTCTTAGCTGCACCGGCTTCTTGATCTGCTTCGTCTGTAATCTCCACGACTTGCGTTTGAGCGTTTGTAGCTTCGGTAGCTTCTGTCGCTTCATTACACGTGCTTTTTCCTGTGTGGAAAAGGTTAAGACCATTCTTGTCTTAAATCGCTCCTAAAATTCAGTGTCAGTTCCACAAGGTCTAAATCTAAATTTTTGCAGTTTAAACTATAATGGAGGAGGCTTAAAACATCTCAAAACACATAACATTCATGAGTGAAATAAACAAACAACACTGCGTACCATTGGTACCATTCACCGCATTTTCCATTACTTTAATCTCTCCGCAACGCTCTTCAACAAATTTCTTCAAATCAGGCAGTTCTTTTTCTGCTATCTTGACTGACACTTCAACGTATTCTTTATCTTCCATGGTTGAACCAGTTTCAACAAAGATCAAGAAAACCGAGAGAAAACAAACGTTAACACACCCGAGACACGAATTGGCACAAACACCGGCAGTCAGTGAACGTGTGACACGAATTAGCACAAACACCGGCAGTCAGTGAACGTGTGAAAAAGATACTGGGGAGAGAATCTGGCAGTTGATTCCCGCGTTTGGTCAGTTTGAATCCGATCTATTCTTGATACTAAACACGAAGAAAAAGAAGTTTTCAGAATCTAAATAAGTCCAGGAAAAATAAAATATAATTTAATTTACTCAATAAAACAGAACAGGAAATATACTAAAAAAGTTGTATTAGTTCAAATATATCACTATTGTAAGAAAAACCTATATTATTCGAATATTTGACAACTCTCTGCTGTTTTCCTTTAAAAGAGTAGTTGATCTATTGAGTGATCATTCAGTTTATTTTAATATGTTTTTTTTAATACTTAACCAACGAATCTGCTCAGCGATATTATGCTGTGAGGGGCGGGCTGTATACACCGTAGCGTATTTAACACACACGCACGAACATCTTTCTTACAGGAAATAAACTGCTGACGAGTTATTTTGGAACCGCCAAACAGAAGTCTTCCCCCAGCCCATCAACATCTCGGAGCGCAAGTGCCAAAACAGTCATGGTTGCAGAAATGGTGTCTTATGCACAAAGAGAAAAGGTATACAGCGTGGGTTCTTTTTTCCCTTTTTTTCATTGTTTTGATTCCGCGTCTTTTTAAGCGATGTTTTAAGGGTTTTCCAACTCAAGTCATCTGACCCAATGTTTAATTGATTTCTATTTTCACAGGCAGTTGCAAATACACACCGAGAAATGAACAGGGCGTTCGGACAGAGGCTGAGTGAAATGATGATGACAGAATCTCCTTTGCGGGATCAGCAAGACAACTCAAAACAACGCGTTTCAGTTGAAGAGATCGTATACAACGAAAAATTTGTATACATGAACCGGCTTTCAGAGGCTAGGATAGAGACTGAAAAATTATTACATTCCTCCGATTTGTCCAAAGTCCAAAAAAAGTCGCATATGGAGAGGGAAATCTCAAATATGTTAATGGAAAGTAGAGACAATACCCAGAGGGTCAGGGACTCCTTCCGGTTCCAGTGTCTGTTAGGAGCATCAGAGGAAAATTTTAAAAAGAGCCGTTTAGACATTGCCACCTCTTGTATTCAACATATAGCGGAGAAAGCTTCATTATCAGAATTGTATCGAAAAAAAATTGCTGAACTTAGACTACAGTTATCGGTAAAAGAAGATGTCATTTGCGCATTACAGCATGATCTGAAAAGCAAATGTCTAAAACAGCAGCTGCCAGAAATCGCGCTTCAGCTGGCTGCAGTAGTAGAAAGGAAAGACCAAAAAAATACTGAATTCATTTCGATTGTGTCCGATCTTCTTGCGCACAACATAAATGAGAAAAAATGCTGGAATGACGACACAAAGTCCTTGTTCGCAATTATTCTAGATTATGGAGGACCGGCCTTGCTAAAGATAATCAGGGAAAAAATTGGCGGGCCGAGTCTGCAGACTGCTTATGCAACAGCCCGACGCAAGGTTCCTATTGCAACTAAACTAACAGAAGATCAGTTTGGAATAGCGGCCTCATTCTATCAACGTGTTGGTTATACGGGACCATTTGTCCTGGCCATAGATGCTACTGCAATTTCACCATGCCTTAGAGTAAGAGGCAATCGAATCGTAGGAATTGCATCTGAAGAGGACATTTTTGTACGTACTGCACAAGATATTATCGAGGTGACAAATGACCAAAGTAAGGAAAAGGCGCGGCAAGCTAATGCGTTTGTGTTGACTCCTCTGCAAGAGCACGTTCCTAGTTTTACCCTTGCAATTTCACCAGTAGTTAAGGGGCAAGACTGGGCTTCAGTGAGGAATTGGTTCGTGGACGCATTAAACTGGGGTGCTCAACATAATATGCAGATTCTCGGAATAGGTGCGGATGGAGACTCTAAATTTAGAAGATACTTTCTTGATGAGTTTAGTAAAAGGCATGGCATGGTAGATGAAGTGATTTCGGTATCTCACAAGGGGTTCAGTTTTGTTTCTGTGGTCAAGAATGTTCATGGCCTGAGAATTCCTACTGTTATGTTTCCTGACTGGAAGCACCTAATTAAAAAATGGAGAAACCAGATTCTAAACGTGCGTCGCGTCCTGGTTCTAGGAGATTCGTTTGTCATGATTGAAGATCTAATGAGGTTGTATGAGGCGAACAAATTAAAAAGTGGATTATGGAAAAGTGACATTTTCGTCAGGGACAAACAGAACGTGGCTGCAGCGCTACGAATTTTGCAACCTGAAGTCCGAGAATGCTTGAGCGAGTGGAATAAGGACCGCAGTCAAGCAATTCGAGTTTACCTTAAAGTAGGACATAACATGCTACGTGCATATACAGATGAAAATCTCACTGTGAAAGAACGGTCAAAGCTTGCTTGGTCTTCAGTTTGCTTTGTCAGATTATGGAAAGCTTGGGTAGAGATGTCAAATTATCCAATAGAGTCCTCTTTTATATCCTTACAAACGTACAACGATATAGTGCTTGCGGGACACTCGCTTATATTGTCGAGAAAATTATTTTCGGAGTACTTCCCCGATCAATCTTTTAATCCCTCTACGTTTGGTTCTGACAGTTGTGAAAGACTTTTGCACGCTGTCGTGGGTTTTGTAAAGGAAAACAAATTTTTGTATGCTGGACATGCTCGACATTTGCGGCAGAATAGCAAAACTCGATGAGCTGAAACTTAAGGAGCCTCCAGTTGTTTCTCGCACATCTTGGCCAGAGTTTGTGGAAGATGAAATCTTGAGCGGCATCAAGGAGGCAGAAAAAGAAGTTCTGAAAACCATCGAGGGACTAGGCATGCTGCCACTTTTAGCTACTGGTAACATATTAAGATTAGATGATTCAGGGGACATACTGTATATCAACCCAGGAATAGAAGCCTTAGCTGATATACGTGACGGTCCTGATGAAAGTGACACTATAACCGTAGAAGAATTGCTAGACGTGGAAAACGATGTTCTATGTTCTGCTGCTGAGACTAACGAACATTGCTATTCCTTTGCGCTATCTGATCTGGCAGCGTCCTCCATCCCAAGGTCAAATGCATTTGACCGAGAAGAAGGAGGAGAGGAAAATGGTGATGTCGATGACGATGATGACCCAAGGCATTGCCATCTTTTCCAGAAGGGTACCTGTAAATACGCAAATCCTGCCTTTAAAGCTCCAAAGACGACTCACTGGATTGGTTGTGATTATCCAGGGTGCGACAACTGGTTCCACGAATCATGCTTAAATCTCAAATTCTCTACAGACTCAGAGAGAGAAACGTATGCCTTTGTTTGTACATCGCATGGGAACGTAAAAGGGATGGAACAATATAAGGACCTAGTTGCTGCGACGGCGTCAGATATTTCCATGATGGAGGAAGACGAGCAGAATGAAGGCACGTTCCACTTGAAGAGACGAAGGAGATTTAATTACGGGGAGAAAACATCAGCAGCTTCACAATGTTCAGTTCCACCCAACTATGTTGAGTATGATGGAGAATTTTATCACATTGCGGAATTTTTGTCTCTTCAGCAGGGAAAAGTGTATAAGCCATCTACTTCTAGAATGGCTAGATGGATGGCTGTCTCAAGGAATGATTTCTACGAACGGGTAGAAAGGCTCGTAGCACCAACTAGATCAGAAAACGGACTATATTTTGAGGATATAGCGGCATTCTGGGTCCCACGTCTCGGTATGAGATGCGGTTTGGTATTGCGGCTGGTGCGTAACACGTTTTCTAAATCCCCTGTTCCTGTCTTTGAGTGGAAGAAAGGAAACGACTCGAAAGAAAAAAAATATCAGTTTGCTTTCAAGTTCTTTCGATCTTAAAAAGGAAAATAGCAAGTGGTTGTTATCACCCACAAAAGAAATAATGTGGAGTGAATGCAAAACACATTTGCTAACTTTCGGAAACCTCCAAGGGAAAGAAAGTGGCCTTTGAAAGTAGACGCGGAGGCGATGGAAATTCTACTGCCAAAGCTGGAAGAGGAAGAAGAAGAGTCTCGGAGGAAGGAGGAGAAACTGAAAGAGTTAGAAAAGGAGAAACGTAAAATGGGGCCACTAGAAGACATGACTGTCTTCCTTCTCAAAGAGGTGTTAGACAGTCTAAATGT